CTGTCTTACATATGTCTAAAAGATACCATTATCACAACTGAAATGTTGACACTTTAATGCTGTCAAGTAGTTATTGTTTAAAACTTCAGTTGTATCAATATTGCTTCAGTATTTTCCTGGTTATTCAAGAATCAACTGAGGTTCATACACAACCTCTCTCCCCTTTTCTCTTTGCTTGCAGTTTAAAAAAATTAATTTATTTTTACATACATTATTATGTTAGTTTCAGGTGTACGACATAGTGATTCATTGTTTATATACCTTACAAAGTGATCACCACAATAAGTCTTTAATGGGCTTGTTGACTGTTTGTATTTTTATTTTTGGAGAGATGTCTACTCAAATCTTTTGCCTAACATTTTCAAATTGGGTTATTTGCCTTTTTATTATTGTGTTGGAAGGGTTCTTTCTATATTCTAGATACAACTCTTCTATCAGATCTGTGATTTGCAAGTATTCTGTCCCATTCTGTGGATTGTCTTTTCATTTCCTGGATGGTGACATTTGAAGCACAAAAGTTGTTAGGTTTGATGAAGTATAGTTTATCTGGTTTTTCTTTTCTTGCTTGTTGATTTTGGTGTCATCAGAATTATTTATTAAAGTCAATTTGGATCAAAAATTACAGTGCAGGTCTCCTCCTAGGGCTGCTGGCTCTGACGTGGGTACAATGTGAATAAATGCTAAAAGGCTTCTGGGCTAGCAGAGGCTTGTGTCCTTGCCTGGTTGTGCAGTGCTCACGGTGGCTCAGTTTCTCACAGTTGTTTTTAATTGAACGTCCATGGGAAAATGGCCAAGTAAATGGAAAGTTTCACAGAGAGAACTGAGTTTAACCATGGTTTTATTCATCGTTATTGTGGGTAGTTTGTTAGAATTTGGCATCATGTTGTGAATTTTCATTGAGATTACTATTGCTGGTCTTGCTGAATATTCTAGCATTAGAGTGGTTCCCTCCGCTCCCCAAACAAAAATTCCACATCATTCGGAATGCTCCATGTAACATACAGATAGACATTTCCCTATCCGCAGGTTAATTGTGGGACTCTGTATTTCCTGGGAGGGAGGCTAGGGCATGGACTCTGCAACCTGCTGGCGGGGTGCACAACTGGCCCACCAGTCACCCACTGTCATCAGTCTCGGGCACCCCAGCTTCATGTCTACAGTGGGGTGACAGTAGCACCTGCCTGAGAGTCAGGTGGATTCACTGTGGGTGGGTGGAAGCCACAGGGAGGCTGCCGGTTGTAGGGTTTATGTATATTGAGCAGTCACTCAGAACAAGGAGGCGGATCTGAACTGTCCAGGTGAGCATCTTGGCAGTGACAACACTGAAACTTAGAATGCACTTTGTGAAATTTAGAAACTTTGGAATAGTCTGCTGCTGTCGTAGGCCATTTAAAGATAAAACATACTGAATACCAACCTTTGTACCAGTTTTTAATTCCGAATCTCCTGTTTCCTTCAGGTACGGTCTGTCAAAGAAACCTAGTCCTTTGATTTGCAAGTGTCTCTTGAGCTGTCTCACTAACCAGGGTATATTTAGTATCAATCCAGATAGTTACTGCCTTTCCCAATGAGGAAGGGTCGCCTCGCGTTTTTTTTGCCACCAGCCAGCCCCCAGTATATGGTTTACTCTGTGTTTGCTTTTTCCAAGGTCCGTGTACAGTGTACTGGTCTGAAGTAAGAGCCACTTAAATCTTCACATGCTGCTCACAGGTAATATTCACACCCATTCACAGCATCAGCTGGTTGTCTTATCCTTTCCATTAAGTGGCTGGTTGGTCTCCTTTTCTTTGTCTCTGCATTTGCTCTGTTTTGCTGCAGTAATTCCTGATTTTTGCACGGTGTCAACTTACTCTTCTCTCCTTCCAGTGGAACACATGGGAGGATAGCTAATGAGTGTCCCTTTGAGGCGACAGTTATTTGCACTTGCCAAGAACTTGCCTCTCTGTCCCTGTTGAATTGCCTTCAGCAGATTTCTGTGTTTATCATCGTGTATTTTCACGTGTACTGATGGGGACAGGCAGCTCTTCATTGGCACAGTTACTCCTGTGCAGCCCCTGGCTCTGTCTCCAGGGCTAGCTTCCCTGCTCCAGAAAGGGTGTTGGGCTCTGTGATCTCAGAGCTGCCTGTAAGGAGCTGACTTTTTCTCGGAGTCACCTGTTTGTATCGTGTAAGGACATTATTGAAAGGCAAAGATCAGGCACAACCACTGTGCTTGTTTGAGGAGTGGGTACCTAGGAAGCCTCAACAAGTTCCAATGATCCATTAATTAGGACGACAGGAAGCAGGCCCCAACCCCATCATGTGTCCTTGTAACTGCTCTTTGTTTCATGTGCACAGTGTGTCCTTTCCCATTTATGGCTGATGTGTGAGATTGGCAGTGTCTGTACGTTGACATGGTTTGAGTCATCTTCATAAAACCCTCAGGGAGGAGCTTGGCTGCTGAGCACATGGGGGGTTGGGGGAGCCTGAAAGGGCATCAATCCCAGTGGCTGGCCCATGGGAGCCTCTGAGAGTGTCTCATTTCTGAGCGGACCAGATGGTCATTCCTGATGCTGAGCCCAGGACACCAAGTGGAAAGAGGGGCCTGCTGAGCATTCCTGGGTGCTGACCCGAAAGGCCTGGAAGTTGCCTGACCCTTGCTCCAGCCTGCAAACACAATTATGTTGGTTATACACATATGCATACACACTCACATATGTATGCGTGTACATATGTGCGATGACAGGTGCTTGGGTGGTTCCACCTATTAGTAAATTAAGTGCTGTTGTGGAAATTTCCACAACGGCTGAGAATACAGTTGCTTGAAGCTTAGCCATACAGGTGACTGGCTCTGTACTCCCTGCCAGAGCGGGTAGCTTCCTTCATGGCAACTGAACTCAGATGTCCCACCTACCGTATTTGCCGGCGTATAAGACGATTTTTTGGCCCTGAAAAATATGCCTCCAAGTGGGGGGTCGTCTTATACGCCAGGTACACTTCAGATAGACTGCCCATAGTGCTTGCCCCGTGCCATAGTGGCCTCCCGATGCCCGCCCACTTCATTCCACATACCGT